GAAGGAAGGAAGGAAGGAAGGAAGGAAGGAAGGAAGGAAGGAAGGAAGGGAGGAGAAGGGAAGGAAGGGAAGGAAGGAAGGAAGGAAGGAAGGAAGGAAGGAAGGAAGGAAAGTAATTTTTCCATTGTAGTTATTTCCTCTGCCTAAGTTTTGCTGAGATGAGACCACAACCTTATCGGATTATCGGAGGTGAGGGCAGGACCGAGACACCAATGCATAGATGGTCCCACCATGGACTGGACTTAGAGACATTGTCTTGTCCATTGGACTGACACAGCCATCTCAGCAGTCCTGATGGATGACCTTTGACTCTTGACAACTATTTGAGTCTCTTTTTTTTTTTTCCCCGGAGGTGTGGGGAGATAGATTTGAAACAGGGTTTCTCTGTATAAACTGTCCTGGAACTCGCTCTGTAGACCAAACTGGAGACGAACTTAGAGAGATCCTCCTACTTCTGCCTCCCAAGTGCTGGAATTAAAGGCATGAGCCACCACCCAGCCTTTTTTTTTCTTTTAATTTAGAAAAGCCACTACATTCCTTTGCTTTCTCTCTATTTTCTTTGTTTTTTCGTTTTGTTTTTGTTTTTCAAGGCAGGGTTTCTCTGTAGCTTTGGAGCCTGTCCTGGAACTAGCTCTTGTAGACCAGGTTGGTCTCAAATTTACAGAGATCTACCTGCCTCTGCCTCCCGAGGGCTGGGATTAAAGGCGTGCGCCGCCACCACCCGGCTCTCTCCATTTTCAATTTTACGTTTGAACCAGCAGGCTCCCAGTGGTAACCTGAAACTTTAAAGCGTGTGAATTTTAATTTAACATGAGAGCTTTTGGATCCACAGTTCTTTGCCAAGTATAATCACTGAATTTATATTTTTTAAAAAGACTTTAATTCTGAACTCTATAGGCTCTGTAATGGATGCAGTAATCCTCACATGAGTTCTGCTTTTCCAATTTAGCCAAAAATTTCCAAAACTTTAGTTTCATTGCCTGGCTCTCCAGTGACCTTGCAGGTTCCTTGTAAGCGAGGCTTCTGTAATAGCCACATATCCCTGGGTTTTCAGAACCGTGTTTGCTTTCTGTTAATAAGCTCAGCTGCTCGGCAGTTGTGTTATCCCAGGCTGTGTGTCTCGCACGTGTGGAAATACACCCAGAGAATGGCTGGATCTTCCTGTGGTACAATTGTGCCTACTCTCTTCTGACCCAAGTCACACTTTACAGACTGGAAATTCAGGTTACTGCAGCGGGTCCTTCACCTAGTGGTTTCTCTCAGCATCAGTTTCTCCTTGTGGGGAATGGCGAGATTTCAGGATTTGATCCAGTGATATGTACACTGTTGGCATGGTGTCTGATGGATGGGTGCTATTTGAATCATCTATTCTGCCGCTCGGGCACATCTGGGATGGAGTCAGGAGCTGGGGCACCAGTTGGCAGCGGTTAGGTCCTGCAGTGCTGGAGTGAGTGACTCCCGCCTTGTGTTTGTAGCAGGAGAGAACCTGGCGGTGTCCAAGTCTAGGAGGCACTGGTTTTGTTTATTTGATGATGAAGTAAATGCTCCCCACCCCAGATGTCCCTCTCTCTAGATCTCTGCTCTCTGCTGACACTGAACATGGGCTTTTTTTTTCATTTTTCTTATGAAATACTTGATGTCTCAAAGCATCTCATATTGGTTGTCATCACCCTGTTTGTTTGAAAAGACAGATGTTTTCTTCTGGACATGACATTCCAGGCTGGGAGAACCCAGTGGATGTCAGCTCGTCTGTTAGTCTGTATGTGGTATTTCATTTCTCATTATTTTGAGAGAGGTTCTTATGTAACTTGGAGTGGCCTCAAAATTGCTGTGTAACTGAGGATGACCGCGAACCTTTCTCTTCTAGTGCTAAGGACTAAGAATTATCGTAAGGAATACCAAGATGCAAACAAAAATAATAAACCGCAGAAACACATAGGATAGTATCGGACGGAAATTTCAGTGAGTACTGAAAATTCGTGTTTAATTTCCAAGAGCTTAACATACCCCTGATTTCAAAAGGTAGGAGTAGAACAAAAGGGCTGCATTAACATACAAATTGAAAATCATGGGGTACATTCACCTGCTCATGCCCTTGACTCTTGCCCTAGACCAAACACTCCGCAGGCCAACCACTCCCTGAATGGAATCCAAAATTATTTCCATAAAGGGAACAAGAACTTATTTGGCTTCTTAGACTTTTGTTTTAGGTAGGAACCAACTACTTCCCTATTTCAGGAGCCCGGGGTCTGGCAACTAGCCACACCTGTTTACGGTAGCCCTGAGAGAGCAGAACTCTGATTTACAACTAGGTGGGACCTTTGTTTGAGTTAAAAGCACAATAATCTCGAACAAGTCCCAAAACTCTCTGATCTTTGGCCTCTTTGGGCCTCCACGTACACGTAGTATTTTAAAATGCATCCTGTAGTAGCTGCAGGTCTCTGTACCTTCACCTCAGAGGAACCTGAGAGTCTGCCCACACCCCCCCCCCCCTTAATCTGCCTAACAAATTGAGACTGAAGAGTTGACTCAGCAGTTAAGAGCACTGGCTGCTCTTCCAGAGGACCAGGGTTCAATTCCCAGTACCCATACAACAGCTCACAACTGTCTGCAACTCCAGTTCCAGGGCATCCAACACCCTCACACAGACATACATACAGGCAAAACACCAATGCACATTAATTAATTAATTAATTTTTAAAAATCTACCTAACAGACTGGAGGTGAAGAGCACTGACTGTTCTTCCAGAGGACCTGGGTTCAATTTCCAGCAACCACATGCAGGCTCACAATCA